TTTCGGAGACCACTAAGCGCCGGTATAACTAAAGGGAGCGTAGGGTAGGATTGGCCTCCCAGCATCGTGAACACCGACGCAAATGGAGCAAGAATTTCCACGAGGCATTTTATAGCCAACCAGTCTGCTGCTTTTGGTCTCGTCAATTTATTTTGCATGTCTGCAAATTCCATACGCCGTTCTGGTGTTGGTAGATACACAAAAAAAAATTCTCCAATAGGTTTCTCAAGACTGATGAAGCGACAGAGCATATCGTAACAGCTATTCCACCGTGTTGGGCAATCAACAACAGGATTTACAACATCCTTTTTTTGGAATCCTTAGCTTTTCGGTCTGCAGCAAGGCTAATCTGTTCCGAGCCTTCGGTGATTTCCGGAAATAAACTGCCAAGCTTCGAAACTTCTGCACGATAACACGCATTTCAGCCAGCTGATCTTTTTCGACATCCTCCACAGCATTGTTAACAAAAGTATCCATCTCCTCCAATATATCATCTCGCAGAGTCTGCATCTGTTCTCTGTCTGCGTCCGACAGTTCGTCATCACCTTCGTATTCTGTACATACTGCATCTGGTTCAGCTTCCACGGCAATTTCCAAGGCTTCTCGGTCCTGTTCAGGAGGTCTCTTCTTTTTCTTAAGTACAGTCGACAAAATGAGATAAATTTCGTGAGCAATACATGCTGTGTGGTCTAGTTGCATGCTGTCACCGGATGCAACCATGTTGGAACCAAAATCCCTTACGAATCAACTGCAACGCTCCTTCCGTAAATCCCAATCTTCTATCATCTTTTCCAGCGCAGTTGCAATAGAGCGGCCATCGTGTTTCCCAGGAATCTCCTTGACTTTGAGCGTCCAATTTACTGAGTCATAATTCTCAGCAACATGAACGCGAAGTAGGAACGTGCGTTTCACAAAGACCAGATGTCACTCGTTATCGAGAAGAACAAACACGAGCGGGTGATTGACTGCCTTACCTGTCGTCTTAGATCCTATGCGAGCTGGACGATCCTACCACGTAGCTGAGCTCGCTTTGGAACGCGTACCTTGAAGCCACCAAGTTCTTCAGTAATATACCGGACAAAGTTTATAAACCCGACTTCCTGTAGTGGGTGGCGGCTTGAAAGCCCAACCACGACCACACCCTACAGTCGAGAATGACGAACAAGCTGGGTGGGCAGGTGGTTGCAGTCAGCCACTAGCTTGCCAGCTTGTTGTAGATCTACAACTGCAAGTTGCGGTTCGTCATCTCAAGCTGGTTGAGGTTCTAGTAGGAGTTTCTACTAGAGGCTGAACTATCACTAGGACGCTGGTGATAG